AGTGCAGGCAAGAACAGTATTGGGAATAAAACTTGTTTTGTTCATGTCCAAAAATTTCAATCGTCTGAAGCGCCCAAAAAGAAGTGCAAAAGCTCTTTCTATAGTTTGTCGAGTCTGACTTACTTTTGTATTAAAATATCTCTGTGCTGCAGTTAAGTTCCCACGGTCAATGAAAGGTGGAATGCACCATGTTAAAACCGGATAGGCTTTGTCACCAATGATAAATTCTTCTAAAAATAATTCAGAAATAATATCCACGTAAGTTACATTCTATGAGATTTTTGTCATACCATTTGGAATATAGTGATCATGATTGTTTAGTACAGCAAAATATAGATCGGAATTCCGAAATATTCGTGTATCGCTAACTGATCCCGGAAATCCTACGAAACAGTCTGTAAACTTTAATCGATTATCACAAACAGCTTGTAAAGTCATCGCGTAATTACATTTTCTTGTCAGGTAAGAGTTTGGGTCTTCTTTGGGTGCTTTGATTACAATAAATGTACCATCAACTGCACCTATAATATTCGGAATTCTTGCAATTCGTTCGAAACCTTCTTTAACTCTTTCTAAATCATTCCCTCTTGGCCATTTTATAACTTGTGGAGCTATGTCACATAGAGCATTTACTACTCTCATAAAACATTTTGAAAGAGACGATTTTGCCATATCAAATCTCTCTCCTACAGACCTATAAAACCATTTTGTTTTAACAGTTAAATACCCAGTGTACTTTCTGCCCTTACCGATATGAATCTGGTGTTGCCAGCAACCAAATAACAGCTAAAATTTGTTTTTCAACATCTAATCTGCTTCTGCCAACATCTGTTTGTCTAATTAATATTGGGCCAATATATCCTAATAATGTATCATATGCATCCAAAGTTATTCTGAAATTTTGTTGAAACTGACCCCTAGTGTAATTCCAAACAACCTTTTCAACATAATTTTCTATACGGTCAGGTTTATAAAAACTTCGTTTACGTGATATCTGGATTAAATTAGGTAAATCCTCATCCTCATGTGTTTCTTCAGAGTCTTCCTCCAACAGTATCATGTAGCAAAAATTAATTATGCTCACTAGTATTAGCACAACAATTTCTTCGTCCAACATAATTTTCGCAGGTCACAGAGCTAGAGCTATTTTTATAGTACTGTACTAGAATCCTCACTAAAACTAGAAACTAATAAGGTAATAAATAATATTTTTTTTATTTGAAAAGTTGGGTTAAGATGAATTTCACCACTACCTAGTTGACGGATGATTCTGACAGACAGAAATTACGCTCCGCTCGTTCATATATTTTTCAAGTCCCGGGCGCACTCTGGGTAAATATCGCTCTGGGCGAATTTCGCCCGGGTATTTCATTTATGAACGCACTCCAGGAGCTGCTTTCCAGTGCCTAAATTGTTAGAGTATCATGCTCCTGGCGTTTGACGCTCTTGAACTGTTCGACAAGCCGCTTTCCAGCTGTGTGCTTAAAGCACGGTGCAGCACAGTATTCTGTGTTTGAATCGCAAAAGTTCGCAGCTCTCGAAGCGCAGTACGGCTGGAACACGAACACGCGCTTGAAGCATTTGCACGCGCAAAAGCTCGATTGCGTGCTCTAAAGCGTCAGCTGGAAAGCGGCTATAAGCAGCACTGGAACGCTCTCGTGGTAACCCCCATCATTTCGGACTTCAGGAGCATAGAACACTGGAATAAAGGTTGGTGCATGAGGGGGCAGGGGATAACAGAAATAAGTAGTTCAAGTGTACGACACTCTAAGCACTGGATCGCGCAAAACAATTGTGGGGCACTCCTGAGCTGCTCAGGAGTAACTCAAATGTGTAACTGGAAAGCACCTCGATATTACATGTTTTTTTTCTAACAACCAAAACAAAAATCAACTCAACGAAAATCAATAAACAACAACAAAAATTAATGAACAACAACAAGAATCGATAAACAACAACAAAAATCAATGAACAACAACAAAAATAGCTCGAGCGAAATCAAAATACACTGTCCACGGATGCTAAATGGCACGAAAGGCTGAAGCTATCGACTGCCCAAACCCAAGACCCAAGAGAATTGCTCCGCGAACAAAGAATTGTACTGGTTGTCCGATGACGTAAAGTAACGTACTCTCCAAATACTCTCAAGGATAATACACACTAAAACTACAGGATAGCCTATCCTGCTAAGGCCTGTATGGAACAAATCTGAAGCCCCCCACTCAGGGTTGCCAGATCTATGAAATGAAAAAACGAAAAACATTTTTTTCGGGTGTCACGCTCAAAAGCATAAGGGGGGGAGGGGCTGTAGTGCTCAATGTGTCCCCCCCCCTATGGTCCCCCTTGAGCAAAAGCGCAACAAATTTTTTGGAGCCACGCCCAAATTTTGTCAAGAATCCAACCAAAACTCGACCAAAAAAAATTCTCCTTTATTAATTATTAGATAACAAAATAAACGCTTCACGAATCTCGACAAAACAACAGTAAACATCATTATTTATACGATAGAGTGGCAAAAAAGTAGCGCATATAATACCTGTGTAACTTTTTGTATGAAAAAAGGTCCTAAAAAGCTAAAGGTTGTATGCACTGCACTACTTTTTTGCCACTCTGGTCTCCGGTCTGTATGTTCTGCTTTTATTACATTATATAGAGTAAAATTTAAATAATTTTGTGATAAACTATGTTCTTTCGTTGTGCTTCACAAAATTAAATTATAATTGGATTTGAAAGAATGTTTTTAACATGTAAAATCCTAATCATTCACTTTCGTCACTAGATATTTTATCACTAGTGACGAAAGTAAAGTTTTCGGCTAAGGTGAAATATGACGAAGTTGTTTATTTTCTAACGGTCATAGACAAAATGATTTTTGACGAAAGTTGTCTATTTTTCAGTGGCCAGAAAAAAAGTTTTTTGCAGATGCTAGTTTGTTTGTGCAATGAGATTTGGATTTTGTTGGAATTTTTGACATTTTTATACCTACACAACATACAACATTTATTATTAAAACCCAAGAATCCTGAACTAACAGGATTGCTCATCCTGAGAAGCGTACGCTCGCCGGTTCTCGAGTCCACAAGGTTTGCGAGTGACGTCACCACGTCAGCTGCTAATATTGGTGACGTTATCCGCAGACCTCGATGAAATTTTTGCGATTCAGGCTCGTTATTTGATTATTGCGTCGATTTTAAATGTAGAAATAGCTATTTATGTAAGAAGTTGTAAATTGAGCGTGTTTTTTGCACTAAATGTGAAGATTGGGTGGAAAAAGCGGGAAAACCGGGACAATTCACGTGAAAAGCGGGACCTGAAATTAATAAAAAAAAGGCGGGACTGATTAACAAAATGCGGGACTGTCCCTCCTAAGGTGGGACGTCTGGCAACCCTGCCCCCACTATGCCAAATCACCAGTTGTGACGTGAGAAGCAAGTCTTTTCTCGCCTTGACGTAGGCTTTTTGCACCACAGGCTATGATTCCGCGGGCTTTTGCTTTGGGGCCAAATTATGGACTGACTGGTAAACGTCTGGTTGTTACCTAGCAGGTACTTTCTATATGCACTAGAGAATAGAAAGTATACTTGCTAGGTAACAACCAGACACTTACCAGTTGGTCCATAATTTGGCCCTTGGATAATAGAAAGTACGTGCTAGGTAACAACCAGATACTTACCAGTTGGTCCATAATTTGGCCCTTATGCATACTTGGTTTACTACATTAATTAACATTTTAAAACAACTAGTTTTTAGATCTCGTTTGCATCTTCCTATTTGCCTATTATTTTTATCTAATGACGTCGGCAATGGTGATACACCAATATGGCGGCAATTACCAAAAACAGTGCCGATTCGAGCATCAATGTACAGTCCGCTTAGATCACAGTCCGTCCTTTTCAATCTGATACTCCAAAGGAATATGACCCGGTGGCTCCCTACGTTATAGAACGCTAATGTTCACTCGACTTTTGCCATATTATGCTTCACCCCTCGCTCCTCATACTCATACGGAAAGTGTCAGATTAGAATCGACGGATATAATTTTAGCAAGATTTTGATGACGTCTCCTTAGGCCCATATTCTCCGTAGTTCATAAAGCCTGGCTTAGTGGAAACGCTTGGCTTTTTGTGTGACAAAGCCGAGCTTTTCCACTAAGCCAAGCTTTATGAACTACGGAGAATATGGCCCTTAGAAAAATAACCCGAACCAGAGCCGCTTTCCAGTATAGGAGCGTTGAGCTCCCGAGCTAAACGTACGGAAAAACGTCACACGTCATGATACTGGAACGGTACAAATCTAGTGCGTGGCACTCTCGGGGTGCTTTAGAGCGCGCTAATGTGGATACTGGAAAGCAACTCAGTTCGAAATCGCTTTGATTTGGGGTGGGTTCCGTTGTTTAACCTTTTTTTTTTTTTTTTTTTTTTTTAACAAATTCTTTATTAATTCAATTCAAAATACAAATCACACAAATTAGTAAAATCCTTAAAACAGTGCTCAACTGCACTGGTACCAAGGATATATAACAAATAAACAGTGTGTATCTAGGAATAATTGTCTACAACTATAGTAACTAGAATAGAAAATTTTGTAAAATTATTTCTACCTGTATGTATTAATAATAACAATATATAGGTATAAATGCATATCTATACCACCAAATAACAAATGTATGCCAACCTCAACCCAAAAATTTAGATAATAATAAAACAAAAAACGAAAAAATATTATTAAACCTGGTTAACCGGTCGGTACAATGTCGGTTGACAGCGGTTGACAACGATTGACAGTGGTTACTGAAAAATTCGGTTTCATACGGAACGCTTTTTCAATCGCAGAATCGCCGCCGGTTGCTTTGGTGACATGTTTGACATAACCAACCGCGTTCCGTATGGACCGGTTTTTCAGAAACCAGACATTACGGAACGTATAACCGTAACCAAGGTTGGCAACGGAACCCACCCTTGGATTCAGCTGTCAGTTCAGTTCAAGTCAGAGTCAGTTGTTCCAGCTGCCAGTTTCGATTTGAATGATTTTGATATTTATTTGTTTTTAAATATAATATAACTATCCAGTCCCAGTCTATCCCATATCGAATTCATAAAATAACTATTGTTATGGACATAATTTCATTGTATCCTATTTTTGTTTCCAATGGGCAAACACGTGAGATCCATCAAGTGTAGAAATCAATTATTATTTACTTGGTTATTGTGTACAGAAAATTGTTGCTAATTGCATACAAATGGCAGTACAGACACATTGGTATTCCAAGTGAATTTTTTGAGAAACTAACGGGTATTGGATTGAAACAAGGCAATGAACCTAGTAAATTAATAACTCAGATACTCGAAATGAAAATTCCTATCCCTACTGACGACTATGAACCTGGTCTTGCTACCAAACAAAGATGTTACAGAATCCGCTCATCCCTTTACTTCCTATCATTGGGACGTATATTGGCAATAATATCCACTTTAATAGTAATAGGATTTATTCTGTTTTTTTGCAAAGCATACATCAAGTTTATCTTGATTTGGCTTGAAAAACAAGATGACTTCGTTGTAGCTCTTACAGTATGTGTGCTTTTTGTTATAGTGGCACTTCCGATAAGTGTTGGATATATAGTTTTGGTATTAGCTTCTGGATATCTGTTCGGAATTGTTAAAGGATTAATGTTGGGTGAGTAATTTTTTATAATTGTCTCTTAAGTTTCAAATAAAGGATTGGGGCTTAATAATAAATCATTGGAAGTAGCAAATTTTGCTCCTTCAGTATTCAAAAAATTAATAAAAAACCGAGTAAAAAACAAAGGAAGTGTTGATAAAAGTGAGCCTTTCAGCCCTACAAAATAAAATAGCTATTTATGCAACAAGTGTATAAAGTCAATATTTTCTTTTTTCACAAATGTAAATTTTGACGCACAAGCCGCAGGCGAGTGTGACAATCACATGAGGAGTGAAAAATGGTACTTAAATAAATAAATAAATAAATAAGTCTTTATTTCCAACAGGAATAATCCCAATTACAGGAAAAAGTACAAAAAAAATTTAATAAATAAAAATGGTAAAAGTGCAGTATAGCCCGGTCACCTAAAATAGCATTTTTTTGAATAAGAAACGTTTGTTTAATGTTCAAATAGTGCATTTTGAAGAAAATTTTCCAGCGGAAATCTTTAATTTAAAAATTACAAATTAAAATCATATTGAAAATACTCGAAAAAATGGGTATTTTAGATGACCGGGCTATACTGCATGTTTGAGCGTGTATTTCAAGTGGCGAAGGACCACCCTGTGCTCAGGGAAAACAGTGGACTGCAGACGAGCTTCTTAAATGTTTTATTAAAAAAAAATAATATAAAAAAATGCGTGGCAGCGAGCAAATTGACAAACGTGTTTCAAACTTTTTCTATTTTTTCAAAAAGGTGACGTCTACTTGTTTTTTATTTGCTTGGTTACTTCTGTTTTGTTTTTTCTTCTCCAGCTCTTGATTTTCTTTTTCATTAAATACCTACTAACCGGAACATGCCGCCCGCGTTGAAAAGTATACTTTTCAAAAAAGTTATACATTGATAAATACTTAAATAAAATGAACAAAATTTATGCAAAAAATTGCAATTTTAAACAACGTACATCTCTTCTAAAATTTTCGAGAAAATCTAACTTTTGAGAGGAAATTAAATTCTTAGACAGTCGTATCAATAGGTAAAACACAAATTTTTGATAGTGATCGTTTCACAATAGTTCCACTAGATAACTTCACTGATACCACTCTCACAATGTTATCTGCACCGGGATGTAAAGCAATCACCTTTGCCATAGGCCATCGTAGAGGGGGCAGATTGTCTTCCAACAGAATCACAATGGAACCAGCTTGTAGATTACATGGGAGTTTTGTTAACCATTTTGAGCGAGCCTGGAGCTGACTTAGGTATTCTCGTGACCAACGAGACCAGAAACTTTGCAACATTTGTTGTAGATGCTGGTATCTGGAGAGCCTGTTAGTATTTTGATCCAATATGTTATGTTGGGGCATGCTAGCTAAGGAATCCCCAATCAAAAAATGGGCTGGCGTCAGTGGCATCATATCGTTGGCATCGTGGGATAATGTTGTTAGTGGACGAGAATTAAGACAACCCTCTATTTGTACGAGAAGAGTATTCATCTCTTCGTAGGTTAAAATAGTATTTCCGAGCACGCGTTTCATATGAAATTTTGTCGATTTAACGGCGGCTTCCCACAAACCACCTACATGTGGAGATTTGGCTGGTATGAAGTGCCACTTGATCTGATCTTTTGCGAGAAATGCCGACACATTATTTTGAAGTTTTTCATTATTTAATAACTCGTATAACTCTGAGAAATAATTATTGGCTCCTACAAAATTTAAACCGTTATCAGAGTAGATATCTGTAGGACGACCTCGTCTAGAAATAAAACGCTTGAGTGCATTCAAGAAACTTTCTGTAGTTAAATCGTGGACCAATTCAATGTGAACAGCACGCACCGCAAAACAAACAAAAATGCAAATATAGGTCTTCACAGTTTTGCTTCTACGAAGCGTACCTTCCTTAATAAAAATCGGTCCTGCATAATCGATGCCACATTTTGAGAAAACTCTAGCTGGTGTAACTCTCGCGTGAGGCAAATCGCCCATTAAAAATTTTGAAACTCTTGGGTTAGCTCTAAAGCACCGTACACAAGAACGAATAACTTTTTTGATCGCGTTTTTACCATTTATTGGCCAAAACTTCAATCGCACAATAGATAGCAGATTTTGAGCTCCAGCGTGAAAGTTTTTCAAATGTTCGTGAGAAAGCAAAAGATTAGTAAATTGGTGTTTATATGGAAGAACTATAGGATATTTGTGGTCATATTCAAGTTGTGAGTTGGATAAGCGTCCTCCTACTCTTATTAAATTATTTGAATCCAGAAAAGGATTCAAGTTAGCCAATTTACTATTTTTATCTACCGACTTTGAATTTTTGAGATCAATAATTTCTTTGTTAAAAGCTTCTAATTGAGCAAGTCTTATGAGAATATTTAAAGATTCTGATAGTTCATCAATTGATAGAAATTTTGAAGTAGATTTTGAAATCTTTTTCAATAACCGATTCTTGAATCTGCACATGTATCCAACCACATGCTGTAACTTTATGAAAGTGGAAAATTCATTGAAAATTGTAAATTCAGAAATTTGAGTAGTGGTTAGCATTATAGAAACTGTTTTGATTTCGGGTAGTGCTTCTTGAAAGGAAACGTGTAAATTTTCATAATTTTTTTCTTTGAGAAAAGACGGACCTGTCCACCAAAGGTCGCAATTTTTTAAATATTTTACGTCAATACCTCGAGTTATTATATCCGCAGGATTATCTTCACTCCTGACAAAATGCCAATCGTCCAATTTTGTAAGTTCAGTAACTTTCATTACTCGGTTAGCAACAAATGTTTTTAATTGACTTGGATCGATTTTCAACCATGATAAAACAATAGTCGAGTCAGTGAATAAAACAATTTCGGAAATATTTACATCAAGTGCATTTTTTACAATATTGACTAACTTCGCAAGTAAATGAGCTGCGAGTAATTCGAGACGTGGTATGGTAAGTTTTTTAATTGGGCAAACTTTTGATTTTGCTGTGAGTAATCGCACTTTCCGTTCACCCTTTTCATTAATTGAACCTAAATAAACACATGCGCCATAAGCCTTTTCAGACGAATCGCTAAACCCAAATAAAATTACTTTATTTTGAGAAATTTGTACCACCTGTCTGGAAATTCTTATGTCATTTAATAAAGGTAACTCCTTCACAAAGTTTAACCATGATTCTGTTAAATTTGGAGGAATTTCTTCATCCCAATCGAGCTTTAAATTCCAAATATTTTGAAGTAAAATTTTAGGTTTTATTAGACAAACACTAACTAGACCAAGCGGGTCAAATATTTGGGCTATCGTGGACAGAATAATACGTTTGGAAACTTTCTTGGGATTTATGTTTACTTTTATCGAGTATTTTAAAATATCTTCATCTGGAATCCAAGAAATACCTAAAGTTTTGAATTCTTTACTGACGTGGGGATGAATTAAGTTGTCATTGTTAATTTTATTTGATTGCAAAATAAAGTCCAATATAGAAGTTTTGTTTGACGACCACTTCCTTAATTCAAATTTAGCTTGCAAAAAAATATCAGTTATTTCGCGGTAAATATCTAAGGCTTCTTCTTCTGAATTAACACTAACTAGAAGATCGTCCATATAAAAAGAATTTTCAATTATTTTACAAGTACGAGGATAAATGTCTTTATTATCTAAAGCGAGCTGCTTCAGACAACGTGTCGCGAGAAAAGGTGCACACGATGTGCCATAAGTCACTGTATTGAGCGTGAAAACTTTAAGTGATTCTTGAGGATTTTCGCGCCAAATAATTTGTTGAAAAGAACAATCGTCTGGATGTATTAGGATTTGCCTGAACATCATTTTGACGTCAGCATTGAGAACAACCTTTCGTAAACGTAGTCTTAATAAAATAGAGTAAAGATCATCTTGAACCGTGGGACCTGATAATAAAAGATCGTTTAGAGACCTCCCTGTATCTGATTTTGCGGAAGCATCGAAAACCACTCGACACTTCGTGGTAACTGATGAATCTCTCAGAACAGCTGTGTGAGGTAGAAAAAATGACGTTCTCTCCTTAGAATTATCCAGTTCAAGATTACATTTTAAAGACATATGATTTAATTGATGATATTCTTGCATAAATTGAATATAACATTCCATTAAATTTTGGTTGTATCGAAAACGAGACTCTAATTTTTTGAATCTTTTCAAAGCCATAGATTTTGAATTGCCTAAAATTTCGCATTTACTTTCGGAAAACGGTAGTCGAACTACAAATCGACCATCTGAATTTCTGCTTGTGGTTTGCTGAAAATAATCTTCACAAAACTGAGACTCGCGTGACAAAATTTGAATTTGAGGTAACTCTTCGATTTGCCAGAATTTGTTTAACTTTTCGTTTAAATCATTATTTGACACCTGATTGATGAAATTGCATACTGATTTTTGAGAATTTATTTTGCCTGTACTTAAAGTTCCCGTTAAAATCCAACCTAAAGAAGTTTGCATTAAAACAGGTAGATTTTGACCTAATTTGATTTTTCCGTTCTCAATAAGTTCATAAAATATATTTGCACCCAACAATAAATCGATTTTCTTGGGTATATTAAAATTTTCATCAGCGAGGGGAATGTTTTTTGGCAAAGGGATTTGAATTTTTTGAAATCCAAATAACGGCAATTTTTCAGTAATAACTGGCAAAACTAAGAATGTTAATTTAGTTTGAAAATTAGTGAATCGCGATTTTATTTTAGCTTGAGTTTTTTCGTGAACATTCATTATTATTTGGTTTATACCTGCTAAAGGAGCGCGGATTTCTTCAGAATCCAACATCAGCCTTTCACGAAGTTCGCGGGTCATTAAATTGGATTGACTTCCAGAATCTAACAAAGTTACGCATTCATGCAACTTTCCAAATTTATCTTCGATTAACACCACAGCTGTAGATAGAAGAACTTGACTGGCATTTACATTAACAAACGATAATTCTGAAAAATTCGGTAAATGAGATGACATACAAACATTTTCATTGAAATTCTTATCCTTCACTGACTCAAACTCGTTAC